TACTTTTCATTACAGCCTCCCCATGCCCTGGCTTCTCTTCACCATATTTCACAACATGAAGCCTGTAGCAGTCAGCAGCAATGGCCTGTTCTGTGCAATTATACTCCTTTTCTTAATGCTGCTTTTTGTCATCCTGTCCATTGCATTCTGCAAGTGGAAAATGAACAAGATATTGGGGTGTACAATGTTTGGCTTGTACTTCTTTTTCCTGGTAATCAGTGTTCTCCTGGAGAATCGAATCATAAATTGTCCAGCAACTGTTTAATCTGGAAATGCTTGGATACTGTGAACCAGAAGCTATCAAAGATACAGGTTGGCATGACGCCGTCTTTGTCCTCTAGAATCTGAGATGGATAATTATTTGAGCACTGGCAACATGCATCCTGAAGAACAACAAATTATAAAATCAACGCGTTGCTCTTTTATTGAAGATTGTAGGAACTATACAAGCTATCGTTGTACATTTTCTAATGCATGTTGTGTTCCTCTATTACTCTCTTTACATATAATCTATATAAAAAATATGCAGGGTATATTTAACAAAAGAGAGACCCTAGCTAAAGTGGAACCTACTTGTAGAAGCCAGTATTGGCTCATTTGGGATTCTTATGTATCTGTTAGGTATGGATAGAATTATTATCATCCCCTCACCATGGTTGTAATCAACACTTCTCTGCCTATAGTCTAGTACAAAAGGAGTGTTGTGGTGTTTGGAACATAAAGAATTTAAATTCACTTTGTAGTATAGGCAACCAGTTGTGGAATGAACACATGGACCGAGTCAGACTGGATTCTGTATGAGAGTTATAGGAAAGATTTGGGTTTGCTGCCCAGTGCATGGTACCCTATATATATATATATATTTATCAATGGCAGTATTGCAGCAATGGGTTTGAAGAATACAATATGTGTGGGGTGCCTCTATTCACAAGAGGTCACATATGTTTTGCAATTCACAAAGAAAAGGATTAAAATCACCTAAATAAAAAACAAATGTTTGATCATTAAAACACAAAAAGATATATATAGACCACCCAGGTGCAGTATGTGAACAATCAATACAAAAAGGTAGTTACCCTTATGGATACAAGGTATAACAGAAGGATTCCTCTCAATCCTCAAATACAAATAATAAACAACCGGATATACCTAAAAACATAAAATGGAGAATGAACTCATAGAATAGTAACGTAATTTACAAAAACATTTTTGATCATGAACTTAATTTTCCCGTGTTTCAGCTTTGGGCAAAGCCTCTTATATCGACTTGGCAGTAAACATTACTGTGCTAATTGGAAGTCTGAATGAATATTAACATGATCAATAAACTGCTTAATTGCGTAAAATTAACCAATGTTTATCTCTAATTGTTGGTCTTCAATTGCAACAACTACCTTGTTACGAAACTCCTAATCGTTTATGATCTTTGTATTACTGTGCTAGGTTCTAGTCTTATTTATTTGTTGAGAGCAGAATTTCAACACCATTTCTAATGGGTTAACATTCTATAGAAAAATTCCAACAATATTTATATTTACTATTGCAGAATATTTTGAAAATGCTTGTTTTACTATGATTAGAATTTAATATGTGGTCTTTATTAACTTAAAATGTTGAATTTAAGGTATAGTTCCTACTACATTGGATTCAAATGATTGGGTCAACATTACTGGTGAAATTCTTTTCTTTTAAGGGGCATGTAATCACATGCCAGACAGAATAACGGGCTACCAATGAAGATGCCCATGCAGTGCAGCCCATACAGAGTTGCAGAGGCACTATTATATGGGCAAGAATGCTTTTGGAGTCTTCCTTATTGCAATACAAGTGTGATTAAACATGCCCTCTGCCTTTTTTTAGTGTTCACAGAGAAAGAACAGACAAATTTCCATTGATAACAGGACATGGGTTCAGCTTAATGCAGGATTGTTGGCAGTTATGATAAATAATGCACATGTGCATTCACTAAGTGACAGATAACCATTGGCAGATACACTCATATACATATACATATACACATACACGCCCATACACAAAGATGCATACACCCACACACACGTCTCAACCACAGATACATTAAAAGAACATGCAGGACCGGACTGGGACAAAATTCAGCCAACGCAGAGCAGCCCTATATGGGAGGAGTGTGAAGGGGGGGCGGGGGGGAGCACAAAAAAAGTATGTTGTGTCATCACCAGTGATATGCACTTTTTTTTTTTAAAGTAAGCATGTCAGTTTAATGCCTCTCCAGGGGATGCTGCTTGTTGGGTTGCATGTGTGGATTTGCATGTGGGGAGGAGGTTTCATGTGGAATTGAGTGTGGGGGGGGAGGATGCTTGTGCTCCTGTGAGTCTGTGAATGGGGCTGTTTGTAGTGTAGTGTAATCTCTTTATCTACTGTTCCATTATGCCAATCATGTTTTGTTAGAATTTAATGTATATTTTGTTTACCTATTATGAATATGTTGATGCTATATAAATAATTGTAATTGTAGTGTGTGTGAAGAGGCCTGCTAGTTTTGTAGTGTGTATGCAGAGGGGTTGTAGTATGTCTTTGTGTGCGGGGATAGAGACTGTAGTGTATGTCTGTGGAGTTAGAATTGTTAGTGTATGTGTGAGGGATGGGGGCTGTGTTATGTGGGGGTGATTCAGTGGTAGATTCTACTTGTCTGTACCCCCAATGACAGTATTAGAGCATTTCCATGTGGGGGGGAGGCATATTTAAGGATACCAAATTTGGAAGCTATCTAAACACATACACATTATCACAGACATATACACTTACACACACACACTCGCTAACACAAACACACACAATCACACATATATAATCAAACATACACACAAACTTACACACATAATCGCAGAAACACACAATCATAGACATACACACATGATCACAAACATACAAACACAATGGTCAGCCACAACATTGTGGCATGGACTCCACAGGACTTCTGAATGTGTCCTGTGGTATCTGGCACCAAGACCATTAGCAGCAGATCCTTTAAGTCTTGCAGGTTGCTAGGTGGGGCCTCCATGGGTTGGATTTGTTGTTCCAGCACATCAGATTTAGATCTGAGGAATTTAGAGACCAAGGCATCACTTTGAATTTTTTATGATGTTCCTTAAACCATTTTCCTCAAACAATTTTTGCAGTGTGCTAGCATGCATTATACTGCTGAAAGAGCCCACTGCCATCAGGGAACACCAGTGCCTTGAAGTGGTGTACATTGTCTGCAAACTAACACCCACGTGGATGCCAAGACCCAAATTTTCCAAGCAGAACATTGCCCAGAGTATAACACTGTCTCTGTCTGTCTTCTTCCCACAGTGCATTCTGCTGCCAGTTAAACAGCGCACATGCACCCAGCTGTCCACCTGATCTAAAGGAAAACATGGTTTACGAGACCAGGCAACTTTCTACCATTGCTCCATGGTCTAGTTCTAACTCTCATGTCCCTATTGAAGTTGCTTTCGGCTATGGATAGTGGTCATCATGAGTAATTTGACCGCCCTGCGGCTGCACAGTCCCATACACAGCAAACTGTGAGGCACTCTGTGTTCTGACACTTTTCTATCATAGCTAGCAGTATGATTTTCAGCAATTTGAGCTACAGTAGCTCTTCTGTGAGATGGGACCAAACGGCCCCCATGTGCTTCAATGAACTTTTGGAATCCAATACCTCGATGCCGGTTCACTGGATGTCTTTCCTTGCACCACTTTTGGTAGGTACTACCAAAGTAAATAACACACAATTATAATTTAGCGCTTGTGAGTGATGATTACAGTCTAAATACAGCTAAAACACAGTCTCTCTTGTCCGGTAAAAGCTGGGTAACACAAGAGGTAGGTGCAGTGCCTAAATAGTCCTTATTTGGGAGCATATAATGACAAGAAGAAAAAAACTGAAGAAACTAATTGTGTAGTATGTAAAACATAAGTTTACATACATATGATAAAAAATGTGCACTCACACTTTTTGGGAGCTTCGATACAGCTCCAACTCATGCGCCTGGGCAGAACGATCCCCGCCTAAGGATAAAGTGCAGTGCTGATTTTTCTGTTGATCATGATTGTAGGAGGTATTCTCATAGAAATAAAATAGATAAAAATCGTATATAGCAGCGGTTCACAACCTATGGTACGCGTACCCCAAGGGGTACAATTCAGTACCCCTGGATTACGCGGAAAAAAATTGGGTAATGGCAGCGGTGCCAGCCGCCGCATGGGCTGGGAACCACTGCCTGAGTGTATCGGCTGGCACATGCACTTTGGGCCACCCGATACACATGTGCCTTCAGGGCTTACCTGCAGCCAGAGCTGGGAGGAAATAAAAGCTTGCAACTACTTCCTCCCAGCTCGCACACAGAGCACGCAACGAGAGGAGGGGGCGGGTCAGGCGGAGGGACCGGGAGAGCAGCAGGACACCAACTCCCATCAGACCCAGTCAGTCAAAAGGTAGGATTTGTGTATCTGTATGTGTGTGTAGTGTTTGTGTGTGTATCTGTATGTCTGTGAGTCTGTATGTCTCAGTGTATCTGTATGTCAGTGTATGTGTCCTGTGTGTCACTGTATATCTCACTGCATGTGTCACAGTATGTGTCAGTGTATGTCACAGTATGTGTGAGTGTGTGTCACAGGATGTGTCAGTGTATCTCTATGTCTGTGTTTCTGCATGTGTCAGTGTGTGTATCTGTATGTGTCTGTGTGTCAGTGCATGTGTCGGTGCGTCAGTGCATGTATCTGTGTGTATCTGTATGTCAGTATATGTGTCTGTGCATCTGTATGTGTCTGTGCAACAGTGTGTCTGTGTGTATCTGTATGTCAGTGTACATGTCTGTGTGTCACTGTATGTGTCAGTGAGTGCCACAGTATGTTTATCTCAGGGATCAACAAATTCCAGGCACCAGGTCATCATAGGCACTAGGAATTTTGTCCTGTGCCTGGAATACGTCGGCCTGGAGCGGCAAGGGAGAATGTCGTGGGGGAGCAGAGTTGGCCGGCCAGCCAGCCATGGGAGAGGAAGGCAGCTGGCCAGCAATGGGAGAGCAGAGGTGGCTGGCCAGCCATAGGAGAGCAGAGGCAGCTGCCCAGCCAAGGAAGAGAGCATGTGCGTTTTGAGGGAGGGCAGAGACGGTCTAGCCAGCAGGCGCTGTGTGTCAGTATGGGTATCAGGGTATGTATCTTTGTGTCAGTGTGTGTATCTATATTTGTATCATGGTATATATCTATGTGTCTGTGTATCTGCATGTGTGTCAGGGTATGTATCTGTGTGTCAGTGTGTGTATCTCTGTGTATCTGCATGTGTGTTGGGGTATGTATCTGTGTGTCAATGTGTTTAATGGTGTGTATATGTGTGTCATGGTGTGTATCTATATTTGTATCATGGTATAAATCTATGTGTCTGTGTATATGCATGTGTGTCAGGGTATGTATCTGTGTCAGTGTGTGTGTTCACTGTATCTGCATATGTGTCAGGGTATGTATCTCAGTATCAGGGTATGTATATGTTTGCCAGGGTATGAATCCATAAGTGTGTATGTGTATATGTATGTGTCTGTGTATCTGCATGTTTGTCAATGTGTATATCTGTGTCAGTGTGTGTCCCTGTATTTTCATGTGTATGCATATCTGCATGTGTGCCAGAGTCAGTTTCTTTATGTCATTGTGTCTTTATGTGTGTCAAGATATGTATATGTATGTGTGTCAGGGTACGTATCTGTATGTGTGTCAGGGTATGTGTCTGAATGTGTGTCAGGGTATGTGTCTTTATTTGTGTCAGTGTATGTATCTATGGGTCTGCGTATCTGCATGTGCCAGGGTGTGTATCTGTGTGTCAGGGTATGTATCCTTAAGTGTGATCCAGGGTAATTATCTCTATGTCAGTGTGTGTATCTGTGTGTCAGTGTGTGTGTCTGTCCGTGTGTCTGTATTTCAGGGTATGTATTTGTGAGTTAGGGTATGTATACATGTGTCTGTGTATCTGCATGTTTGTGAGTATATGTACCTGTGTGTCAGGGTATGTATCCTTAAGTGTGTCAGTATATGTATGTGTGTGTATCTGCATGTGTGTCAGGGTATATATCTGTATCTGTGCCAGTGCCTATATCTGTGCCAGGGTATGTATCTGCATGTGTGTCTGTGCCTTTATCTGCATCAGTGTCTGTATCTGCATGTATGTCACTGTATCTGTGTGTCAGTATTCGTATATGTATGTCAGTGTGGGTATCTTTGTCTGTATGTGTGTCAGTGTATGCATATGTTTGTGTCAGGATATGTATCTGTGTATCTGCATGTGTGTCGGTGTATGTATCTGTGTTTCACTGTATCTGCATATTTGTCAGGATATGTATCTGTGTGTCTGTGTATATGCATGTGTGTCAGTGTTTTATTCTGTCTGTATCTGTATGTGTGTCAGTGTTTGTATCTGTATGTTTGTGTATCATTGTATCTGTGCATCTGTATGTATGTCAGTGTGCATATCTGCGGGTGTGTCTGTGTATCTGTATCCATATGTGTGTGAGTGTTTGTTTCTGTGTGTCTGCATGTGTGACAATTTGTGTGTCTGGGGCGGAGAAGAAGCAGGGAGAGTCTGGGAAGGAAGAGAAGCAGGGAAAGTATGGGGTGGAGGAGAGGTGCAGAGGGTCTGGGGTGGAAGAGAAGAGAAGCAGGAAGAGCATGGGAGCCTAGGGCAGAGAAAAAGGGGAGATTTAATAGAGAAAAATGTATACATTTGAAATAAATGCAACTATATTAATTACAACATTTTGTTAATGTAAGGGGTACAATTTATGGAAATAGGCTGCCAAGGGGTACTCAAGTGAAAAAAGGTTTGGAACCACTGGTAAATAGTGTAGTATATTAGGACTATGGAGCGAGCGTAGGTATACATGTACAATTTACACTCACATGTAATGAAGCCGTAAGTATGGCTGAAGTGGTATGATCCCCACTCAAGGATATCGGTGTAGACAAACTTTCTCTGTGACTACATATAGATAAAAAGCCTACTCACATGCTTAAGTGCAAAGTACGGTTTGCTCAATCCAATACGCTTAAGTGGTATTATCCCCACAAAGGATATAGCCCAAAGACTCAGCAGCAAAAGCAGGTCCAATAAAAAAGTACTTTAATGTTAAAAACAATAAAAAACAAATAATTAGATACAAAATAGATAAAACAATCTATATAAAACACTTAACGAGTTTCACCTAAACAAAGGCTTTTTCAAAGGTGTATTACAGGATGCATGGGACCATAGCTGCTTTTTTAGGGTGGTAAAATTAAAAAATAACAGTTTTGTGACATCACAGTCACATGACCAAACTAATTAACATTAAAATATTTTTTAAGGACTTCATAATCTGAAAGATCAGGATAGTAGGACAAATATCAAAAACACGCATTTTCTTTTTAACCAAAGTAGATTTAAGTTTGGCAAGTACCCACAAAACTTATTTTGGAGATGATCTGACCCAGTAGTCCAGCCATCATTATTAGACAATTGTCAAAGTCACTCAGTTCTTTTCGGTTGCCTATATTTCCTGTTTCCAACATATGAAATTTTAAAATTGTCTGTTCACTTGCTGCCTAATGTATCCCCTTGACAGGTGCCCTTGTAACAGTTTAATCAGTGTTATTCACTTCACCTGTCAGTGGTTTTAATGTTTTGGCTGATCGGTGTAGACACGCAATCAAAGAACCACACACACAAATACAGCGATACACAAAAACACACACACACACGTGCGCATAATCAGACATACACACTGTAACAGAGTTCCCTGTACCCCAACTGGGTACCTCCGCCAAGGACCGCTTCCTAGCTGGAACAGGGGACAAACCGCAGCACTTCTGCCCACAGTCGCAGTAGCTTGACTGGAACCCTGAAACCGCTCCTTCCTGGAGCCGAATGGAGCTCTAGTCCTTACAAGGACTTTCCCCGTTGAATCCCCTGCAAGCTGGAACAGCAGACACAGGAGTAAATCTTCTTTCCCTCCAAACACAGGACGACACACAGTTTGGAGTGTAAGCTGGAATAGCATTTTATTGGAGGCACACTGGCCTTTTATGCAAGTTTCACAACAAGGGTGACACCCAGGTGGACCTTGCTGGGCACAGGGACACAAAGTGAATAAACCAATAAAAACAGACTCATACAGTGAGACACTCCCATACACAAACAATAGAATCCCTCCTCCGTGCTTGGGAGATAATTGAATGAACTGTACTAATCTAACCCAATTATCTCCAAGCACAGAAAAAAACACTTCCCCTGACTGAGAAACAGTATATTTGGGTAGAGTAGGCACCAGCCATGGTAAGCAGGTGCCTACTCTGCCAAGTGTGAGTTTCCAGTTATATAAAGGCAGACACACTTTGAGAACTGGTGCTCTAGGCAGGGAGGGGGGTCACACAGGGGGGCATGGAATACAGCTATGATTGCAGTAGTAGGAGGTACAGACCATGTAATATACCAGTAAAAAATGAGAAACAGCGCACTCCGTATCTACTAAACTGTTATTCTAGTGCTGAACAATTTTGTTAGTTTTACTTAAAAACACCTAATCTAGATTAGATTAGATTAGGCAAAAAACAATGGGGATTTAGATGCATTATATGATCATACATTGCATAAGCCTGCCACAACGTCAATGTAATCCATATGCGGCAGGTGCCTAATGTCTGCTAAATGAGCTACTCACTTGGGAAAATCCTCTCGAGTTTTCTGCAGGACAAGGCCAAATAGGATCCTGGGATGAGGCACCTGTGACAGGGAGCGGTGCAGAACCAGGGAACTGGCTAGCTAGACTATATATATATATATATATATATATATATATATATATATATATATAAAATAAAATAAAACGTAATATACCAGTGAGCCCAAATGTACTTTGCATGAGGGCAGCAGTATCCTCGGATGCGTTGTTCTCCCGCAAGCTGTGTCAACAGCCTGATGCCCTGGTATCACAGGTCCCTGTGTGTCTGTACAGCTTGTGCACCCCAAAGGCTGACCCAGTCTGTGGTAACACTCTGATACAGTAGAAATAGTAGAGAACTTGATCAAATTTACCCTTTTGCCCCTTGAGGCAGATCTCCCCATTGGCCATGGAGCCCCTTCTAATCTTGTGAACTCCCCTTGGTCCATGGCTGTGAAGAATCACCCTCAATTCGTTTTGATTATTTCTCTCCCTGCTGTTGTATTCGTGAGATTTATTACCTGTATTACTGGTGCATTCATTATTTTCTGTACGTTCAAATCCCTTGTTCGGTAAAATCGCTATTTTACCGAACAAGGACCACCCTGGGTAGCAATTAGAACATAGAATCATGTGTAACCGCAAGTTAATTAAGAGTTCCCGGGTGGCCGCCATTTCGGGAGCCGAACACGTGGCGAAGAATCTTAAACTCCCGAACGGCCAGTCAGCGGGACTTAGGCGTTGACCGTCTGGAACTATTTTTGGCATAGCGCTCCAGCATGACCCGGTCCCCCATGGTAGTCCCGCCTGACTTATTTCCACGAACTTGACACGAACGGCGTTCGGGAAATTCAATCTACCGAATGAGGGGAACACTTTCCACAAACTCTCTGTATCTTAACCCTGGTAGTTTTCGTGTAAATTGATGCGAACGGAGACCGTCTCTTAGCCCCAATTTCATGGAACTCCAAAGCGGATACCAGCATGCAGGGATTATGTTTGTATGTAATATAAAAAGTACTTTTCGGAAATTGTAGAAAACTGTAATGTTTCTGGCCAGCAGATAATTGAGCTTTGTGTATTGTAGACTCAATTATCTAGCCTGGCCCAGAGGAGGAGTTTTGTGTTGCATAAATTGTGAGTTCTGTGTGCCAGTAAATCAGACTTGTTCCAGCATTAAGCCTTGGCTCATGTGTGGATTATTTGGCAATTACAACGATATTTCTTCTCGTGGATTATTGGGATTACTCTGCTATTGGGAAAAGGAAAACTAGACGGTGATATTGACTACTACCATCACAATGGCCATCCCTGCCCATCAGCATTTGCCTAGTTTGCCATTGGCCAGTCCAGACCTGCAAACACATAAATATAAGAGATACAAACGTGCACTGTTCATCCATTCATCATTACCTGCTTTCAAACATACACAAATGCATTCCTTCCCACATTTTTGCACTTGTTTATGTGCTATTCCTCTACACATTTTTCTTCATCCTTTTATGTCATCCAATTTTATTATTATTTTTCTTTCCTGCCCCACTCATGTTTTTCCTCTACACATGCTCATCCATGTCTCCTTGAAAAAGTATTTCCATTTTTTTAAACCTATTTTCTGCCCTGAATATTTAATTCTCCCCACAGGCCATCACATTGTCATCTTAAAACATAATTCATTAATAACTTTAAATCATGTATGTACCTTACAGGGAAGGTTACACTGATTGCATCATTTCAAGGCACCCAGCACTGCTGACCAGTGGGATGGAGTCTTATGATGTATGACAGCCTGGAGTAATAAACATTTTTTCATTTCTCTCTATTTTGTTCACTGGTGTATGAGAAGTGAAGGAGGAATTGGTTTTGTATAACTCCCTGTGCGGTTATTTATACTCATGCTGTGCATGTGATATTTGGGTTTGACAGATTGAGGCTGCTTGAGTTGCAACAAATGACATCATATTTCTCAATGACCTCCATCAATGTGACCTACGCAGAGTGAGGAAAAAGTGACAGAGATTTGTGCATGACTAAAAAATGCAGATTCTGCAAACCGTTGGTTACCAAGAATGTCCACTAAGTATTGAGCACTGTCTCTCCTCACCCTATTGCTCCTTTTCCAAACACCTCTAGGGGGACACCATGCATACATATACACCCTGTTCCAAATTATTATGCAAATTATATTTAAGTGTCACAAAGATTAAATATTTAGTTTTTCAGTTTAACTCATGGATGGCATTGTGTCTCAGGGCTCTTTTGATCACTGAAAACAATCTCGGACACCTGTGATAATTAGATTGCCAGGTGAGCCCAATTTAAGGAAAAACTACTAAAGGAGGGTGTTCCACATTATTAAGCAGAGCACCATTTTCATGCAATATGGGGAAGAAAAAGGATCTCTCTGCTGCTGAAAAGAGTGAAATAGTTCAATGCCTTGGACGAGGTATGAAAATAGATATTTCACGAAAACTTAAGCGTCATCATGCACTATTAAGAGATTTGTGGCTGATTCAAAACACAGACCGGTTTGTGAAGATAAAGGCACATTGAGGAAGATTTCTGCCAGATCCATGCATCGGATCAAGTGAGCAGCTGCTAAAATACCATTACATAGCAGCAAACATATATTTGAAGCTGCTGGTGCCTCTGGAGTCCCACGGACATCAAGGTGTAGAGTCTTCCAGAGTCTTGCAACATTCGGCCACCACTAACCAATGCTCACAAGCAGAAATGGCTGCATTGGGCAGAAAAATACATGAAGACTAATTTTCAAACAGTCCTGTTCACTGATGAGTGCCGTGCAACCCTGCATGGTCCAGATGGATGGAGCAGTGGATGGTTGGTGGACGGCCACCCTGTTCTAACAAGGCTGCGAAGTCAGCAAGGCGGTGGTGGAGTCATGTTTTGGGCTGGAATCATGGGAAGAGAGCTGGTCGGCCCCTTTAGGGCCCCCGAATGTGTAAAGATGACCTCTACAAACTATGGGGAGTTTCTGACTGACCACTTTCTTGCCTGGTACAGAAGGAAGAACTATGATTTCCGTAATAAAATCATCTTCATGCATGACAATGCACCATCTCATGCTGCAAAGAATACCTCTGCATTAATGGCTGCTATGGGGATAAAAGGAGAGAAAGTCATGCTGTGGCCTCCATCCTCCCCTGACTTAAATCTTATTGAGAACCTTTGGAGCATCCTCAAGCAAAAGATCTATGAGGGTGGGAGGCAGTTTACATCCAAACAGCAGCTCTGGGAGGCTATTCTGACATCTTGCAAACAAATTCAAGCAGAAACTGTCCAAAAACTCACAAGTTCAATGGATGCAAGACTTGTGAAGCTGCTATCAAATAAGGGGCCCTATGTTAAAATGTAACGTGACCTGTTAAAATGTTTAAAAAATTAAAATGTTGTTATAACTTTGATTGAAATAGCTTTTGATTTCAGTAAATATGCTGCAAACACAACAAATGAAAATTTTCAGTTCTTTACAACCTATAAAGTGTTTTGAAACTAACTGTGCATAATAATTTGGAACAGTGCAGTGTACGTTTTTTATGTTTAAAAAAAATACTGTTATCATTAGGAGGTTTGTTCAATAAAATTTGAATTGTACTCTTAATAGTTGATAACATGAGAATTATGCTGGCTGTTATTTACATAAATTATTTAGGTAAATGAGAAAAATATAATTTGCATAATAATTTGGAACAGGGTGTAATATTACAGCACCGCCCAGTCGAGCCCTGGAGTGCACTGAGATTGTAGGCCACCAGCCCAAGAAAAGGATTTTAATAATAAATTCACATTGTGAATGCCAGTTAAGGGCCCTGCACATTGTATACCAACCTCATCTTACATAGAATTTTGTTTCGGTGTAGGATGACAAGCATCTCTGGAGAAAAAGGTTAGGTAAGTGGGGCTTTATGAGATTATTGTCATTTGCACTGCAAACTGAAAGCAAACTCATGTATATAGGAGTTTTTACATTGCTTAATGAACATTGAGTTGTGGGGAGCTGACAAATGCAGAATAAAATAGGGTAAGCTGTGAATTGTGACTTAAAGGGATCCTATAGTGCCAGGAAAACAAAGCCGTTTTCCCTACACTATAGGGTTAATAGGTCCCCCCCTCCATCGCGCCCCCTCCCGCATGGATGAAGGAGTTAAAACCCCATTCAACCACTTACCTGAATCCAGCACTGATGTCCCTTGGCGCTGGGTCAGGCTCTGCCCACGGCGACGGGAGAGACCTAATGCGCATGTGCAGCAATGGCTGCGCGCATTAGACCTCCCCATAAGAAAGCATTATTCAGCATCAGATAACGGACCAAAACTCTGTTTGGATTCCGGAAGCACCCCCAGTGGCTGGCTGGTAGACAGCCACTGAGGGCAGACTTAGAGCTGCAATGTAAACATTGCAGTTCTCTGGAACTGCTATGTTTTACATTGCAGCACTAAGTGCAAAAGGGTCACAGCACCCAAACCACTTCAATTAGCTGAAGTGGTCTGTGTGCCTACAGTGTCCCTTTAACGCTATAATGTTCTAAATGAAGGTTGAAAAAGGCACATTGGGCAGGAAATCTGTCTAGAGGTAAATTATGAGATATGTCATCTAATATTTGAGTTACTGGCACATTTCAGAAAAACACAGCCAAGCTGAAAAAAAGCCACTTAAGGATTTGGTGGATTTTTTTCTTGGATGTACCCTCCCGTATATCACTCTGTAATGGCACAACAAAAAATAGTGCAAGATATAAAAAAAATGTAGGCCAAGGTATCACCTTCCGAAGTGGTAACCAGGGCCGTCTTTAATTTTGATTGGACCCTGGGCAAGCATTTACTTGGGCCCCCTGACTACATATAGATACACACAAATACAAAACCTGACACACATGCAGATACACACTGACCGCATATAGATACACACAAGAACATACAGATACACACAGACTACATATAGAACACTGACACACAGATAGACACAAACACAGATACACAACCTAACAAACATGCAGATACACAGATACAAACACTGATACATGCAGATACAAAGGTACACACACTGACTACATATAGATACACCGACACACACACTGACACACATACAGACACACAGATACACAACCTGACACACATGCAGATATACATATACAAACACGGACACATACAGATACACACTGACTATATATAGATACACACACAAACACAAACGGACAACATACAGATACAGAGGCACATTCTGACAGACGTACTGACACAGAGACACACACAGACAGCCATACTGAAACACACATACACACAGACATACAGAACCACATGGACACTGACAGACTCACACATAGACATACTGACACGCTGACAGACATACATACATTCTGGCACACATACACACAGACAGACATACTAAAACACACATACACACAGACACTGGCAGACGTACACACATACAGACATTTTGACACTCACAGACAGCCATACTGAAACACACATACACACATACATACTGAACCACACAGACGCTGACCGACTCACACACACAGACATACTGACACACTGACAGACATACTGGCACATATACACACAGACGGACATACTGAAACACACATACACACAGACACTGACAGACATATTGACAAACACAGACATACAGAACCACACAGACAGTGACAGACTCACACACACAGACATACTGGCACACTGACAGACATACTGGCACATATACACACAGACGGACATACTGAAACACACATACATACAGACACTGACAGACATATTGACAAACACAGACATAC